TATAGCACATTTAAAAACAGCTAGTGTATGCCAAAGTGCTGTACACGTACAAATAAAGTAAATATAGAGATTAAGAGAATAAAAGGAAAAGTCTCAAACACATTAAAATACACTAACATACATTTCATCCAAAAGCCAAGGAATACAGATAAGTCTTCAGGCGGGATTTAAAAACAGGAAGGGACGGCGCAGGTCTAATGTCCAGAGGTATGCTGTTCCTTACTCGAGGACCGGCTACAGAGAAAGCCCGATCCCCCTTAGATTTCAAGCGAGAGCGAGGTATATGCAAGAAAAGTTTATCAGAGGATCTGAGAGAGCGAGAGGATTGCTGATAGCTGAGAAGTTGGGACATTTATGAAGGGGCTAGATCATTTAACGCTTTATACACAATATTAAAATGGATCCTATGCTGCACCAGTAACCAATGAAGAGATGCTAGGACAGGAGAAATGCTTTCTCTCCTCTTAGTAGCAGTCAGAAACCTCGCAGCTGCATTCTGGACCGACTGCAAGCAAGGCAAGGCAAGTTTATTTGTATAGCACATTTCATACACAATGGTAATTCAAAGTGCTTTACATAAAAGGAAACAAAAACAATAATCACAACAATAAAACAAGGAATTTAAAAACTTTGAAAATTATTAAAACAAAATTGATTTAAGAGGTTTAAAATGAATTTAAGAAGACGATTATACATATAATATAGTGCAATCAGTTAGGACATCGCACAGTGCTCATTCAATAAATGCACAGCTAAACAGATGAGTTTTGAGTCTGCATTTAAATGTGACTAATGTTTTAGCACATCTGATCTCTTCTGGAAGCTGATTCCAACTGCGGGTGGCATAATAACTAAAAGCACATTCCCCTTGTTTTGTGTGAACCCTTGGTATTTCTAACTGACTCGATCCTAATGATCTGAGTGGTCTGTTAGGTTTATATTCAGTGAGCATATCTGCTATATATTTAGGTCCTAGGCCATTGAGTGATTTATAAACGAGTAAAAGTACTTTAAAATCAATCCTAAATATAACTGGAAGCCAGTGTAAGGACCTGAGGACTGGTGTAATATGCTCAGATTTTCTGGTTCTAGTCAGAATCCTGGCAGCAGCGTTCTGGATGAGCTGCAGCTGTCTAATGGTCTTCTTGGCAAGGCCGGTGAGGAGACCATTACAATAGTCCACCCTGCTGGTGATAAAGGCATGAACAAGTTTCTCCAAGTCTTGACTGGAAACAAAACCTCTAATTCTTGCAATGTTTTTGAGATGATAGTATGCTGATTTAGTTACAGCTTTGACATGACTACTGAAACTAAGGTCTGTCTCCAGAATCACACCAAGATTCCTGACTTGATTTTTAGTTGTTAGACCCCTAGAGTCAAGGTATGCATTCACCTTGAGAACTTCATCTTTGTTTCCAAATGCAATGACTTCGGTTTTTTCTTTGTTTAACTGAAGAAAGTTCTCGCACATCCAACTGTTAATTTCATCAATGCATTGGCAGAGGGAGTCAATGGGGCTGTAGTCATTTGGAGATAAGGCTAGGTAAATCTGGGTATCATCTGCATAGCTGTGATAGGCGATTTGGTTCTTTCTCATTATTTGACTTAGTGGGAGCATATACAGGCTAAACAAGAGCGGTGCAAGAATTGAGCCTTGTGGGACTCCGCATGTCATGGACGTCCACTTAGACTTATGCTCTCCTATACTCACATAATAACCTCTCCCTTCTAAGTATGACCTGAACCATTTAATTACCATGCCAGAAAGCCCAACCAAGTTTTCCAGTCTCTCTAGTAGTATGTTATGATCGACAGTATCAAACGCAGCACTGAGATCTAGTAGTACCAGCACTGATATTTTGCCAGATTCAGAATTTAAGCGAATATCATTTATTATCTTAATGAGTGCTGTCTCTGTGCTGTGATGCGGTCGAAAACCAGATTGAAAATTGTCCAGGTATCCATTTGAGTTTAAGTATTTGTTCAGCTGATTAAAGACTACCTTTTCAATAATCTTTCCTATAAAAGGAAGATTTGATATTGGTCTATAGTTGCTCAATATGGTGTTATCAAGATTTCTCTTTTTCAGAAGGGGTTTAACAACTGCAGTTTTCAGGGAGTTTGGAAAAGTCCCAGAAAGAAGTGAGGCGTTCACCACTTCTAAGAGATCTGCTTCCAAACAGTTAAGCACCCTTTTGAAAAAATATGTGGGAAGTGTGTCAAGATAGCATGTTGACGATTTAAGGTGCTGTACTATTTCTTCCAAAATTTTGCTATCAATTTCTTCAAAAGCAGACATAGTATCTTCTTTTTGATATTGTGGTCGAATATGTCTAACCTCTGCATAACTTGGGGATGTGCTAATCGCCTTCCTGATATTATTGATCTTCTCAGAAAAGAAGGAAGCAAACTCATTGCATTTGCTGTCGGAGAGCATTTCACTGGCAATCTGATTTGGGGGGTTTGTCAGTCTCTCAACAGTAGCAAAAAGAGTGCGAGTGTTGTTTAAGTTACTGTTTATAAGGTTTGAGAAGAATGACTGTCTAGCTTTGCCTAGTTCCACATTGAAAGTACGAAGGCTGTCTTTATATATGCTATAG